TTTTTTTTTTTTTTTTTTTTTGTCTTTGTGCTCAGAGATTCCACCTGGCCCTTGGGAGGATGTAGCCCTAGTTTCTGAACCATCTCCCCAGGTCCTTCCCAATAGACCTGTGTTTGTGCCTAGAACAAGCAGACATTATCCTGAGAAGGTGGCTCCCAGAGGCTCCGCTTCTCAAGCCTGCTCAGTGGCTAATCTGATGCCCCTGACCTTGGGCTCAGTGAGGCTCTTTGTGCCAGCTCAGTGAACCGAGGCAGGGAGAGGGGACTTTCTGCACAGGTGGGCTGGGAGGAGGGTCGGGAAGGAAGGAGCAGCTCAGAATCAAAGCCCGTGTGTCCTCTCCAACACCCTGCCCGACCCAGGCTGGCTCTGCCCAAACAACAGAGGCACTTGTCTCTGGTATCTGGGAGGCCACCTTTCCCAGGGCTCCCAGGGAGGACTGCTCCAGAAGATGAAGAGGGATGGTAGCGAGTGGTGCCTGCAGGCCTCAGGGGAATGGCACAGCCCTCTTCTCAGGTCTCAGCTAGCTTAGAAAAAAACAAAGGCAGCTTGCCATCGGCTGCCAAAGGGCCTCGTGACCTCACTGTGCCGTGTTCTCCAGGGAAGTTGGACCTGGACACTGGCACCCTCTTTGTGATGGAATCTGGTGGGGCAGCATGAGGTGGGGGGAGGGACATTCCTCGGGTTGAACTTGTGAGGACCTCGTACTTCTTCTACACAGAGTCCCTCTGAGGTCAGGTGTCAGAGGTCGTTTCACTTTGTGGATGGATGTAAGGACCCTTCCAACAGAAAGGAGTGATGTCCAGCACCCTTCCCTGACATTAGACCTTCAGCTGTGTCTTTGCCAGTGTCTGAGCCACAGGAGGTAGAGAGGTCCCTGTGCCTGGAGCTGCCCTGTTGCAGAGCACACAGCCTTCAAGCTTTCCTGCACAGAAAAGCTTTCGGGTTCTTGATACAGTTCTACAGCAGTGGATCTTACAGATACTTAAGTTTCTCTTGGGAATTGTCCACCTAGAAAGACAGTGTTTTCATCTGGCCACTGAAACTTCTGGCAGGAGGGTTGGAATTCCGCTTGTTGGTTGGTGAGACAGGCTTGAAGCAGATTTTGGCTGTGGGAGGTCTTAGAAGAAAGAGCTCACAGGGAATGATGCTGAGGACTTCTGGGTATAGCCAGCAGCTGTAGGCCAGCTCACCCCGCACTGGTCAGGCTACAGGCTTGCTAGGACCTTGGTCGTGATGGTCTCGGCTGGCCTGTCCTCTCCAGGGTGTGGGAACCCCATCAACTCGAGAGAAGAATCATATGGCTTCCTCGGCAGACCTGCACTCTAGGCCATTACACATCTTCACAGTAACAGGCCAAGCTCCCAGATGTTCAGTGTTCCCAAGTCCATCCAGCTGCCATACCAGCTCGGAGATGGAGGGATCAACAGAGGAACGAGTGTGTCAGTGGCTGTCAGGTACAAGGGCTTTGCTCATCCTTTCATGGCTGTCCTGGAGTCTGAGGTTGTCACCTGTAGAGCAAGCAGAGTGTTAAAAGATTCAGTGGTGGGCTGGGGAGATGGCTCAGTGGTTAGGAGCACTGGCTGCTCTTCCAGAAGACCCCGAGTCAATTCCTAGCACCCACATGGCAGCTCACAACTGTCTGTAACTCCAGTTCCAGGGGATCTAACACCCTCATATAGACATCCATGCAGGCAAAAACACCAATGCACATGAAATAAAAATAGTAATTAAAAAAAGATCCCGTGGTGTCCAGAGTGATAGTACTCACGGACACACTTGTGTCCTGTGGCTTTCCAGCTCCCAGGGATGGGAGTTCCTAATGCCTCAGAGGCTGCAGAAGACAGGACTCTCTACAGAGGTTCCATGAGGACATAAGGACCAGTATTGAGAAGGGTCTGCTGAGGCTGAGGTATCCAGCATGAGCCAGAGCACGCTTCTAGGGGGCACGTAGCAGGGACTATACCACCTTCCTTGTTACCCAGCCAAACCCTAGACCAGACTGAGCTAATAGATGAGCAGAACAACAAGGTGGTCGGGAATGTGGTCACCAGAGCCTTCCTTAGGTCCCAGCCACAGGGCTCTTCTCATTTGAGATCAGAGAAATGAAATGATATAGCATCAAACTGTGGGGCCATTATGAACACCAGAATAGACGCAGACCCGGAAGACCACAGAGCACTGTGTGTGACATGAGATCATCATGGAAGCACTGGGAGCCGCTCACAGCACAGACACTCAGTAGCTGGGCAGAAGAGCCTGGAAGAGTGACTCTGAGAATCTAGGCTTGAGTTCCGGTTGTAGCTCCCATCAACTATGTGGTTTCAAGCAGGCCACTCAGCTTGTCCATGCCTTGGTTTTCTTGTTAAAAGGGGGAGCAGTAATACTTCTCACAATCTGGACTTAAGTTGTGAGGGGTGATTGGGACATAGAGCTTAGAACACACCCACTCATGAGGCCAGTGAGATGACTAAGCAGGTAAAAGTACTTGCCACGCAAGCAGTAAGGGAGGTGAAGAGATAATCGCCTGGAAGCTCGCAGGCCAGCTGGCCTGGAATACATGCCATAGCAGAAATAAAAAAGACTCCATCTCAAGATGGAAGGAGAGAACTGACTCCTGAAAGTTGTTCCCTGACCTTCACATGTGCACTGTGGCTGTTACCCCAGTAAGAATGAGTAAATCTTAAAAACAAACAAACAAGCCCCAAGTGGTTCCCAGGTCCCTGGTGTTTGGATGCCATCCGATGAGAAACACGAGACAGGTGGCCAGGTACATTATATTACTGTCAAGAGGATGGAAAGGAAAGGATGCCATGCCAAGTAGAAGCTGGTTATGATCAAGTCATGGAGAGGGGCCTCAAGAAAGCCTTGATCTGCCACCCTACCCGCCTTGAACACAGGTTCCAGTCTCCAGAATTGTGAGAAAGTGAATTCTTGCAGGAACTTTGTCTGAACAACTCCAGTGTTTGTGGCTAAGCCCTCAGCTTCCCGCTACTGCTTATGGAACCTTTAAAAGGTGGAGTTAGGCCCTTGGGGGTGTGGCCTGGAGGGGGATAAGAAGCACTGGTCTCCTGTTCTCTCTTGTGCCTGCCAGCTACAAACCAAGCAGCTTCTCACCTTCCGCACATTCCTGCCATGATGTGCTGCTTCACCACAGGGCCCAAAGCCATGGAGCCAACTCATCATGGACCAGAATCTCCAAAACTGTGAGCCAAAATAAACCTCCCCACTTTATCACTGGATTTATCACAGGTGCTTGTCAGGGTAACAGACCACTGACACGTACACCAGCATGCAAACATGCACCCTTAAGAAATGATCACAATCTTTCTACCGCCGAGTTTTCTCACCTGTGCTGATCAGAACAGACATGAACAAGGCTCCTGATAGGCTCGACCACTGCCTGAATCCCTTCCCATAGTCCCCATAGTGCTCCCTCACAGCCACCCTCTGTGCAGTGTCTAGTTGTGGATGAGGAGACCGAGCCACAAAGCATAGTATTGCTTAAGATCACACAGTCAAGAGGCAGTACGGTTCAGAATCAGCTCTCTCCTCCAGAACTATGCCTCCAGTTCCTGAAGATTGGTTGTGTGCAGTCTAACCCTGGGCTCTCAGCACACAAGAGCTGGTGGGAACACAAGACATTATCCAGTCGGTGTATTTCACACCTCGGCATGCCCATAGGTTCCCAGGAGCGCTCAGTAATAGGCACATCCTCACCCACAGCACTAAGACAAGACCGAGCCTCTGCTGAGGGCCACAAAGCTGGAAGGCAGCTCCACCAGTTAAACTGGCTCAATAACCACCTCAACAATCTCTCTACCACATCCACTGAAGAGAGTAAGTTCTTGACATGGGCCATCTCTCTGCCCCTTGGAGACAAAATTGTGACCCTGAAGTCAAGCTTGAGCAAAGTTTTGGGAGGTGGGCAGGTGACCACACTCTTGAGGTCAGAGAGGGCACTGGCATCAACCTTTTGTCATGAGACCAAGCTTTTCTTGGTATCCATGGATTTCAATTTCTGCATTAGATACCTTCTCCAACACATCACAAGGGAGCCACCCCCCTTCTTGAGTCAGGGAACAGGCTGTCTCCTTGGTTACACCTGGTCTGTTCCCAGGCCTAGCTTCCTCCTGACAGAGACATATATCTTCCTGGCCACCTGGTCTGGAAGCAGCACCCTAAGAAAGAAGGAGGCAGGAGAGTGAACAGATTGAGTCCTGCTCTGAATCACAGGTAAACAGGAAGTTGAGGCCCTAGGAAGCCTCCTCTAGTCCCAGGTTCCTCTACCCTTTTCAGGGTGCTCCATTAGTATAATCCACTGCGATGAAATATGCAAGACCTCTGTGCAAGGGACCCCAGGCTCAAAGAGTGCAGCCTGCCCCTCAGAGAGGTGCACTCAGGGAACCCTTTGCCTCTGACTCTGGGCATCCCTCAGGCTACTCCGTGAAGCTTGCCTCTCAGGCATGTGCCACTCCATTATGCATGCACCTGCTGAGACCTGTTTCATTGATGCAAAGACCAGAGCCCCAGTGGCTCCACCAAGCCAAGCCCTCCCCAGAAACTGGCTTCCTGAGATGAAACACTCTGCACCTTCATCTCTAGCCCACAGAATGCAGAGAGGGACCGTGACACCTCCCCCAGCTGCACTTCAATCTGTGTACCTGTTACCAGGGCAACTCCTCCACCAGCAGATTTTCACCTGGCAGGTCTAAGAAGGCTGGTTTTGCATTTGTGTGCATGGGTTTTTATTTTTATTTTTTGCTTGTGTTGAGAGTTGTTTAAAAAAGTAGTCTTCTGTATGGCAGGTTGGCCTCAAACTCACTGTGTATCTTGTGTACCTTGACCTTCGAGTTCATTTGCCTCTACCTCCCAAATGCTGGAACAAATATGTTTGTCCTATCACAGTCAGCTTTTTTTTTTTTTTAGGGGAGGGTGGGGAAACAGGGTCTATATAGCTCAAGCTGGTCTCAAAGTCATGCCCTGCCTTAGCCTCCCAAGTGCTGGATGACAGACATGTGTCACTATATCTGGCTCTGATGGAACCTTTCTAATAAGCTTCCAAGTGAGGCCAATACGGCTGGGTGGTGGACTGTGTTCTGAGTAGCAAGGATCTAGGGTAATCACATTCTCCCCATTCTACAGAAGGACAAACTGAGACCCCCCACAGAGTAGAAGGAGGTTACTTGCGTTGATCAGAATCGGGTAAAGGAAAGCGTAATCTAGTATCTAATGGAGAATTTTGGGCCAAAGTTAAGAGACACAAACCACCTTCCTATGTGCTTGGGAGGAAGGAGGAGCCAGGAAAACTGGGTGTATGGCTTCTCCCTTTTGTCCCCCCTCCAGTCACAGTTTGGATTGTCAACATGTCCCGGGTGCCTTGCAGAGGCCCGGATAGTCATACATCATCCTCACTCTGTCCCCTGGAGGAAGAACTGCCTTTGATCTGGGAAACTCCCACTGGGGCCACCTAGAGAAGCCACGCCAGGGTGCTGCAGTCCACGTACAATGGCTGGAATCCTCACCCTGGACTCACCCACGCCTCCGCGCAGCATCAAGAACCCTGCGTGGTCCTCTGCACCATCAGCTCCTCATATCCCTGTCACCCCATCACCAGCCGTGAGGCTGAGGCTTCCCAGTCTTTGCTGGCACCGCTGGGAAAGGGCAGCCCTGGGACCCTGCTCCCCTCCCTCTACACTCTCCACGCTCCTGACCTCGGTGCCCCATGAGCACTGTGCAGGTGTGGGGAGAAGAGAGCCCGACCTCTGTCTTCAGGGATCCCTCCGATCCCAACACTCTAAGCAGAAAGCCCCGAAACTGAAAGGATGAACACAACCCTCCAGCAAAGCGGATGCCGTACAGTAAGAGCAGCGGCTTACTGCAACGTAGCGCTCACGAGGCTAAGCCTTTACCCTGCACCAGACAACTCTCTTCCCTTTTTTTGTTTAGAGCCTTGCTGTCCAATTCAGTACCTACTCATCATATATGGCTAAGTGAAATAAAAACATGCAGACGCTCTCTCTCTCTCTCTCTCTCTCTCTCTCTCTCTCTCTCTCTCTCTCTGAGTGCATTTGAAAATGCTAAGGCACAACCTCAGGTATCATTCCTCAAGCACTACCCACTTTGCCTTCTGAGACAAGGTCTCTTACTGGCCTAGAATTAGGCTACGCTGGCTGGCCAACGAGACACAGGGATCCTTCTATCTCTGCCTGCCCAGCATTGGAATGAGAGCTGTGTGCTGCCATTTCCAACATTTTACACTGATCCTAGGAACTGAACTCGGGTCTTCATGCTCATGTGAAAAGCACTTTACCGGCTGGGCTATTTCCCAAGCCTCAACTTCAGTTTCTTAGCAACATGAAGCAAGTGAAGCACTCTCCAGCTGTGTGTGGTGTTGCCTCCACAGGGAGCACCAGACCCGAACAATCTGCTGGTGCTCTGCTCTGGTTTCCAGCCTTGGTGCTCAGTGATTCAGACGATGCACATTGAAGCCATGAGTCTTTTTAGAGCC